TGCGATGTCGCTGAACAGTAAACACTACTATCACCTCAATTGGATTGCATTTCCTTCCTTCCCATTTCTTCCCCCCATCCTCTTTTTCTCTTCAACAAGACATTATTTGCATTCCATCACCAAATGCGTCTTCACTCTACACGCCCCAGTCGGGTGTCGTTCTCATACAAGGTTGTATCCACTACCCACATGCATATTCCAATGCCCTTTCTTCCAATGTGAAGCATCACCCAATGCTCGTCTGAAGTCGCCTTCTCCTCTATAGCTCTGCTCTTCTGCTCCAAGCGGTGGCAACACTGGGCTTAGTGCGGCCAATCGAAAGCTAGTTGGCACCTGATTGGTCACATCTCCCTCTTTTGACTGGTTCCAGATGTGTTCCTTACCGAGTGGAGTTCACACTGCACTATATAAACGGTGGGTGGCGCAGCATCCGTTGTCGTCTCTGGGAAGACCACTTCTAGGCATAATATTCTTTTTTATTTGGTCGTAATGTTCACTTAACTCCCAGCAGAACGTCACACGGTCCTCATGAGGACCACATCGTGCACTCCTGATTGTTCACTTGCTTCTCTTCCGCGTCACGGCTGTCAGTATTCGCTTCCCCCAAGGTGAAGTTAGTCTGTCTCAATGTGGTATATTGTGTGAGTAGTGAGGCATGGGTTATTGCAGGGCAATTTCTTACGCAATAGTTTAGTTGATGGGCATTTGCGATTGGTGCTACATGATGCAGTTCTCTCGAACGCATTGTTTGGGATCGCAGGTCTAACTATTTGCTCATATGTTCAAATTGGTGTGTCATGTGAAGGAAGGTGTTGGTATTTTATGGGCCACTTTAAGGAGAAATGTACGCGGACGCTAAATGTGGTTGATGTTGGTCAAATAACAGATATTTTCTGTTATTTCGCTGCGTTGACAAATTGTTTTCGTGCGGCATAATTTAAACTTTGGTTTCTGCTTTCCTTCATTTCCTCCTCCTCCTCCTCCTCCTCCTCCTCCTCTCTCGTGCCATTGCCGATGTTGACAAGTCTAAGTTGACGTCTGC